ACTGTTGGGACTTTTTGTTACCATTAGTAACTTAGCTTTATCCTAAATAGTATAGTACACCAAAAAAAGTTTCCAAGCCAGTAAGCTCACCCCATAGTTTCCAGTATACTGTGACCTTACAGATCCACTCATTTCTGAAGATCTTACACCATAATTTACCACAATACAGTTCATTCCTTAAAGATTTTAACACTTAACTGGTACCCTTTCTCTCCCAACACTACTCTTGTCCTACATCTTAAGTGATCTGCACATCCACCACTATAATCCTTCCAATACCATGAACTCTCAATTCCTTGACTTTCTTACTTCCAATGACCTTGTCCTCCAACCCTCCTCAGCCACATATTCTCAAGGTCATACCAAAGAACAGTGGTTCTCAAATGTTTTGGTCTCAGGACCTCTTTACACTCTTAAAAATTATTGAGGATCGGGGTGTCTGGGTGGCTCTGTCTGTTAAGCATCTATCTGACTCTTGGTTTCAGCTCAGGTCACAATCTCACTGTTTTGTGAGTTCGAGCACCCTACCACCCCTACTTTGGGTAGCTGATAGTGTGAAGCCTGCTTGGGATTTTCTGTCTCCCTCCCTCTCTGCCACTCCCCCACTCGTGCTGTCTCAGTCTCTCGAAATAAACTTTAAAAAAATTACTGATGATCTCAAAGAGCTTTTGATTATGTGAATTATATCTGACACCATATTATAAAATTGAAAGGTTTTTTAAATATTTATTACTTCTTTTAAAAATAATAGTAATGAACCCATTACATGTTAACATAAATAACATTATTTTAATGAAATAACTACTTTCTCCCAAAATAAATGAATTCTCATTTCTGCCTCTGTATTCGGTTTAAGTATATGAAGAAACTTTGGCCTTCCACAGATATGTAGTTGGAAAAAGGAGTATTTTAACAGCCTTTGCAAGAATACTCATCTCTGATACTACAACAAAACTTAACAATTCATAAATCATTAGTTGTAACACGGACTCTGAAATTGTATGTGAACTTTTCTCCGTTACGTCAAAATCCATTGATCTATCTTGCACTCTGAATGGATCTTTTACCCACGCATTGGTCATTTGGAAAATATCAGTTCACTGAGTTCTATAGCTCTTTCAAATGTTCACAAATTTTCCATGCAAGATAAAAAAAAAAAAAATCGTGCTTGTTAATATCACTACCGATCTCATCAGAAAAGTCTTTAGGTACTGGGACACTTTAAAGCTTACAGAGAATAATCCAAGTTTTCCAAAATTCTAATTTTGGGGCACCTGGGTGGCTCGGTCTGTTAAGTATCCAACTTAGGCTCAGGTCACGATCTTGGGGTCCATTAGTTTGAGCCCCGCGTCAGTCTATGTGCTGACAGCTCAGATCCGGGAGCCTGCTTTGGATTCTGTGTCTCCCTCTCTCTCTCTCTCTGTCCCTCCCCCACTCACACTCTGTGTCTCTCTCTCTCAAAAACAAACATTTAAAAAAAGTTTTAGGGGCACCTGGGTGGCTCAGTCGGTTGAGAGTCCAACTTCAGCTCAGGTCATGATCTCGTGGTTTGTGAGTTCAAGCCCCGTGTAAGGCTCTGTGCTAACAGCTCAGAGCCTGGAGCCTGCTTCAGATTCTGTGTGTGTGTGTGTGTGTCTCTCTCTCTCTGCCCCTCCCCCACTCACACTCTGTCTCTCTCTCCTTCAAAAATAAATAAACATTAAAAAAATTTTTTTTAATTTTAATTCTAATTTTTACATGACAGCTTGAATTTTATTACTGTCAATGATCTTCCTTGCAATGACTCTCCTTTCACTTCTCTCCTTTTCAAAAAATGTCCACCAAATACTCAAATTTGAAAAGTCAGATTTCAAGTAAGAAATGTTCCACAAGAAAGCTACTAGTTCAGTGCACAATCCAATTGCATAAGAACTTTCCTCACAATGACCATCTAATTTTAGTTTGCAGAAGTTCTTGATGAAAACATCCCATTTCATCAAACATGTAAAAAACATGTAAAAAGACATGTATTCAAGAGCTGAGATTTTATACAATTTTATCAATGACTTTTTTTTTTTTTTTTAATTATAGGTGTAGCACAGGTCAGTGCCACTGTCTTCATTTTGCTAGGGTGCCAGCAATTTTAATCACCACTTTTGCATACACTGAGAAAGAATACATCTTAGTATTAGAAAGTAGTTTTGACCTAAAAGGGCCTCAGGAATCACAGGGTGGGGGGTCCATTCACCACACTTTGAGAACCACTGCTCTAAGCAACTGAATCTTGTTTCTATCTTAATTTCAAGCATGCAATTCTCTAATCACTACTTCCTCTCTTCCCAACTCACTTCAATTCTTTCTTCCCTTGCACATACTCTAGATCCTTCCTTCTCTCTTCCTCTACATACCTAACCAAAACCCCAAGTCTGGTTACATCCAATTCTCTCCTGTATAGGAACAGCTAGATATAGCTGAAGAAAAGGGACCACTGGTCTCACTTCTAAGTCAAAATCACTAATAAAATATGAGTTTTTACTATACTTCCCTAGTTGACTCCCTCATTCTTTTACAATCTAGGACCTAAAATCTGGGTGATTATTTCACATCTCTTTCTTTACAGCTTTTCCTCCACCCTTACACTCTGCTCATACCTTGCTTACTTCACTACGAAAATAGAAATAATCAAAAGAAAACATCCTGCCACAAACTCTATCAACCAACCTACTTGCAAATGTACCTAATACTCTGTCCTCTGTTCCAAGTTTTTACGTAAGGCCAACTCCTCCACTTGTGCACTGGATCCCATCTTTTCTTTGATTACTCAAGGGCAGTAAGTGCTCCTACAGTTTTCTCTTTCCCTCCTGCATTAAAAATGTTCTCACTTTACTGAGTCATTTCCAAGAGTACAAAAACATGCTGCAATACCTCCCATTTTAAAGATTAAAAAAAAATCTCATGATTCTAAATCTCACAGCAACCAGAGTTGTTGTTTTGGGGTTGTTTTTTTTTTTTTGGTGGTTTGTTTTTTTGCGCTCTTTCGCAACAGAACTCCAAGAATTGTCTATAAAGACTATTTCCAGGGGCACCTGGGTGGCTCAGTCAGTTGAGCGACCAACTTCGGCTCAGGTCATGATCTCACGGTTTGTGGGTTTGAGCCCGGCATTGGGCTCTGTGCTGACAGCTAGGAGCCTGGAGCCTGCTTCTGATTCTGTCTCCCTCTCTCTCTGCTCCTCCCCCACTCATGCTCTGTCTCTGTCTCAGAAATAAATAAACATTAAAAAAAAATTTAAGATTTCCAGTTTACTCTCTCTCTCTCTCTCTCTCTCTCTCTCTCTCTCTCACCCACTCCAATCAGGCTCTGTCCCAATCTCTCCACTGAAACTTCTCTTGTCAAGATCACCAGGGACCTCCTCATCCAATTTAAAGTTCAATTTTCAGTTATCTTACTCAAACAACAGCATTTGATTTAGTTGATTACGTCCTCATTAAAACTCTTCACTTGGCTTCTAGTATTTAAGGAAGGAGCAAGAGCGGGCAAAAAGTATTTGATACTCAGGGTCAAGTATCTAAACTCTATAAAACTCAGACATATTTATGTAGTTTCTTGGGGGAAAGGGCCAAAATGTTGAATTCAGTTCCAATCATCAAGTTTCAAACAGTAACAGCCGTCAGTGGAAATGGAATCATAAGGACAGCCTTCAATTTGCTTACACAACACTTGGTGAATGACTTTGAAAAAGTTTCATCCAGTGCTGTGGAGGAACTTCACCAAGCCTGGCCTAAAAGGCTTTAAGTGGTCTTTACAGGCCTCATACTTTTTTACGAAACAGTAACTCTATCAGCCCTACTGTACAAATGGAGCACCTGCTCAAAAGCACTGAGCTATCAAGGGGCAGCGCTATGACTTGTGGGTAGGGCTGTGGGACTCCAAAGCTCACGCTTTCTTAAAATCTTCAAACTGCTTCTTGCAACAACAACAAAATCAGGAAACTCTGAGCGGGTGCCCATCTAAAAAGTTCTAGAGTGACCAGCAATTTTCCTCAAAGTAAACGGCAAAAACAAGAATATATGTATAGTAGGCACTTTCCTACACATAATCTCCTATTTAGTGGCAATCACACGGCTGGCTTTCCATGTCACAAAAGCATTTTCTCCTCGGCAGCCTGAGGTTCACTCACCGACTCTAAAATGAAGCTGGAGAGCGGTAAAACTGTTACTACAGTAGCTGAAATCGTATTCCGATTCTCCACTCGCTTACTCCTCTTTCATTACTTCATCACACACCTGAAAGTCATCCTGGGGAAAAGCCGGCCCAGGCCCGACGCTGCCTCAGTCTACTTCCAGTAGCAAAAGACTAAACCCGTTGATACAGCGACTGATGTGCAAGCCTCGGCTCTTCCCAAGCAAAAAGGACTTTGCTTACAAAGTAAGACAAGAGTACGGGCGCGGCCTGTGGTCGCCCTGCCGAAACGTTCTCTACAGCGGGAACCCAGTTCGAGGTGGAGGAGGGATCCTGACAAACAGCTTAGCCTCTAACTTCAGCCCAAGCCTAATCGCCTGGCCCACTCCGCCCCCGCCCGACCCGGCGGCAGCCTGTATGGGAAGTGCCCATTGAAGTCATCACCTTCAGGAGACATCCTCTGTCATAGTGCTTGCAGCCCCGCCGCCCTTGCTTTTGGCCGCGGGCGCCATCTTCCCGCGCCGAAGCCGCCATCTCCTCCATCTCCCCTCAAACTCCTCGGACCCTTCCCCCAGGATGAAAACCACGCCCAGAGGAGTAGCGTCACTAGCGCACCCCCTCTTGGTCACAGCAGCCAGCCGAGCTGATATGGCGGCTCAGCACGTGACCCGGGGCAGCCGGATTTCCGGTTCCCCGGGCGACGGGGCGGAAGTGAAGGGAAACGCAATCTCTGCTGTCGACGTCAGTTGCTGACTTCGCTGCTAACGGTAATAACTTAGGTTGCCTCTTCTTTCCACCCCCCCAATCCCCATCGCTACTCGCCCAAGCCCTGGGCGTGGTTCGGGGCGAGGTGGACCGCAGCGGCGCGGAGACGTCGGGAGGCCCCTGAGAAAGGGACGCTCTTCGGCCGCATCCGCACCTGTGAGAGGGCGGCCCCTCCCTCTCCCCTTGCGGCGGCCTGGTGCCTCGAGAAAGGGGCGGAGCTCCGCCAGCCTCCAGGCTCAGAGCGGGTACGGGCGCGCTCTGCTTTTGCAGCTGCTGCTTTTAGTCGTTCTTCATTCCTTCAAAATATGCATTGACGTTTCCTGTAGGCCAGTCACCAGCTAAGCATGGTGACAAAAAGTGAGAAAAAGTACACGCCCCACCATGCCCTCTTGGATCTCACAGACTGGTAAAGGAGAAAGACATTGATCACAGAATGAATCAGTGACATAAATGAAGATTACAGCTTTGAGAAGTGCTAGGAAGAAGTGTGTGTTCTATGAGAGTTAATGCCGGAGGGGATCGGATTAATCTGGGTGCCAAGGAAGGTTTCCCTGGGGAAGCAACACGTGAGCTAAAAAGATGAGTAGGAGTTCGTGTGCAAAGGCCTTGTGGCATGGTGCCTGTAAAAAGGCGGAAGGGAAATGTACAAGCCTGCAAGACTGAGTCAGACGCTTCGGGGTGCGCAGTGAAAAAATGATTGGCCTTCTGAAGAGGCAAGCCCCTGGAAAATTTTTAGAGCTGTTAGTGTTGGAAGACAATATTTGCCTTTGGCTTTCTAGCATGATTTCACATCACCCAAAACACGCTGGGAAAAGTAAACATGTTCCCCTTAGCTTTGAAATTGCTAACTCTTACCGTTTTAATTTTCTTTCAGTTCTGTTATGAGTTGCTAAAATCATGGTGAAATGTTGCTCGGCCATTGGATGTGCTTCCCGCTGTTTGCCAAATTCCAAGTTAAAAGGACTGACGTTTCACGTGTAAGATTTTGCCATAGTTAAGCCAAGTACTTCTGTTAAAAAAGCCAAAGACAGTTATACTTAATTTTTCAGTTTTGACCTTTAGTTCCCAAAGCTTTTTTAAATAAATAGCTTTTTAAGTGAATTTGAAGTGATACATTTACGTTTTTATAACTTAGTTTAAAAGTTGAAGATTCCTGTCAAGGTATCAAAGGCTAGTAAACAAAAATATCAAGCTCATTTTTGTTAATATTGTTACTTTGTGTTTTAACATACCTTCAAAGAAATTGTTTTGTTTATATGGAGTTTACAATCTGAAGGAAGGATCTTTGCCCAAATATATTGACCTTTCTATTTAGAAATAGATCAAACTTACATTGTAGAGAAAAAATGTAAATTACAAGTTCAGACCAAGGGTTCTTTTACAGGTAAGTCAAGATGATCTAATTTTAATAATTATTCATTTGCTAGAAGTTTATTTTGCTGCTTTTGTGCCAGGCACTGTGCTATGTGCTAGAGAAAGATCTGATAAGTACTTTGCTAGGTATGAGGAAATAAAAAATGAGTATGTATACCCCACCTTAGTCCAAAAAAAAAAGATTTGAATCAGTTTGGAAAATTACAGAAGATATGGTTATTGGTTTCCAGATCTCTCAAAATAGTTCTTTTCTCTAGAACCCCAAACTCTGCAGCTGTTGTCTGCCTTCATTCACTAAGCATTTATAGACCTGTTGTGTGTTAAATGCTGTCCAAAGCAACTTTCTGATGCTGACAGAAGAATGAAAGTATGAGGTACTCTGTTCATCTGGGATAAATTCTGGGTATGGCTTCACACAGGAAAAGTCCCAAATGGTATTATCATAGATAGATGAAGGAAAATCCCCCAGTTGTGGATCTTAATGTAAGGTTGAAGTATCCCTTGAAACTTTTCTTCTTTATGATATGAGAAAAATTGAAATGAGGGCCATATGTTTGCAGCATGACTGGTGGAAAAATCTGTTAAAACTGAAGGTTCTGAAAGCTTGATTCATGATGGCTTCCTGAATAGTCCATTTCCCAAGAGTAGTAACAAACTTCTCAGTGAACCAATTTAGTCACAGCCTTAGTTCAAGTATATATTGACAATGCTTAATATTAGGATACTGTTTGTATGTTTTTTTCTAGATTCCCCACAGATGAAAACGTCAAAAGAAAATGGGTATTAGCCATGAAAAGACTTGATGTGAATGCTGCAGGCATCTGGGAGCCTAAAAAAGGAGACGTGTTGTGTTCAAGGCACTTTAAGAAGACAGATTTTGACAGAAGTGCTCCAAATATTAAACTGAAACCTGGAGTCATACCTTCTATCTTTGATCCCTCATCTCACTTACAGGTTTGTTTATGAGACACTGCTTAGCATCGTTACTCATTTTTTATGGTACTGCTGAAGAACCGTCACCATTCAGGCTAACATTTTGATTGTTTGCTTATTCGTTTGAAGTCCATTTTTTGAGTTTTTAAATTTGGAAGTGACTGCTTCAGGTTTTATAATATGTAGTAGGAGTATTTTACCAGTAGCCACTCAGAAATATTGACATGTTACAAATATTTGGTGAAGGGGACTGATTTTAGGAGTTGACATAACTCAGGATTTATATCTAAAAAAGGAGGAAAATAAGAGGGCTGAATTGAAGTTCCGAGTTGCCAGTCCTCTTCACACTAGAGCAAAAGTCAAGAGCAGAGCCAAAGTAATAGGACCAAAGTATACTTTTAGAGCCACATACATTCAAGCTTAAAGCCTAGGTAAAACTAAAAGGAAGAAAAGCAAAAGAGAGGAGAACGGGAGAATGAAAGGAGAGAAGAGGTAAGAAAAAGAAAATAAAAAGATTGTATAAGTAAAGTCTAGTTGAATTTTGTGTTTTTTCTCAGTGATATTAGTGCCACGGGTTGACTGCCTCACCCTCAGTATCTCTCTTGAGTTAAAATATGGCAAAGTGTTGGGGGCGCCTGGGTGGCGCAGTCGGTTAAGCGGCCGACTTCAGCCAGGTCACGATCTCCGGTCCGTGAGTTCGAGCCCCGCGTCGGGCTCTGGGCTGATGGCTCAGAGCCTGGAGCCTGTTTCCGATTCTGTGTCTCCCTCTCTCTCTGCCCCTCCCCCGTTCATGCTCTGTCTCTCTCTGTCCCAAAAATAAATAAATGTTGAAAAAAAAATTAAAAAAAAAAATATATATGGCAAAGTGTTTCTAGACACCATAGAGTAACTGATTCCAGTGTAGAAAATTCAGGGAGAACCTATCAGTTCCCAGAACAATAGTCATGAACCTCCATTGAAAGATATCTCCTTCCTGACAGTTGGAAACAAGGGAAATACAGATGGCCTTTGACTTCTGATTTTTCAACTTTACAACAGTGCGAAAGCAGTACACATTCAATAGAAACCATACTTTGAATTTTTAAGTTTCATCTTTTCCTAGGCTAGCGATACGTAATACAGCGCGGATGGGAGTATGCAATACCATATTCCCGTGATGCTAGGCAGTGGGAGTAAGCTGCAGCCACAGTGGTCACGAGGGTGAACAACTGATACACTGACAATCATTCTGAACCCACACAACCAGTCTGTTTTTCAGTTTCAGAACAGTATTTAATAAATTACACGAGATATCAACACTCCGTTATAAAATAGGCTTTGCGTTAAATGACTTTGCCTAACTATTGGCTAATGTAAGTGTTCTGAGTATGTTTAAGGTAGGGTAGTCTAAACCATCATGTTCAGTAGGTTGGGTGTATCAAATGCCTTTTCAACTTACAATATTCTCAATTTATATAACCATATCATAAGTCAAGGAAGATATGTAATCTGGAAGTGTACCTGCTTCGAGATGGTCTTGGTCATTTTCCAGTGCCTGAGTGAGCAAGTAGAGACTGCCTCACTCTCTCCCATGTTAATAAATTTATAATATCTTGTGCAATTTGTTATAAAGGATTTCTTTCCTTATAGCAAGGTCTCATCCAGCATTAATGTTGAGAACCTTAAGAAATGCGGGCATAATAAAATCAAACCATAAGTTACTAACTTTCAAAAACTATATCCTATAACAAAAGAAATTTTGCATTATAGGAAATTAGATGACACAAGCAAAAAGAAAATAAAAATTATCAATAATCACATAATCCAGAGATAATACTTTTAACACTTCAATGTGTATCTTTCCAGTCATTTGTATGTGTATGTTTGTATATATATTCACCTATATTTATATATTCTTACAAAATTATAATTACACTGTACATTTGATCCTTGAAAACAATTTGAATGCATGGGTCTACTTATATACAGATATTTTTTAATAAATATACAGCACAGTACTTTAAATGTATTTTCTCTTCCTTAGGATTTTAATAATATTTTCTCTAGTTTATTGTAAGAATATGGTATATAATACATGTACAAAATATGTGTTAATCAACTGTGTTAACGGTAAGGCCTCCAACCAACAAACGTTAGGCTATTGGCAGTTAAGTTTTGGGAGAGTCAAAAGTTATACACAGATTTTCAACTGTGCAGGGAGGTTGGTGTCCCTAACCCTGCATTGTTCACGGATCACCTGTATATCCTTTTCTTAATTTGCTTCCATCTCATTCCCTTCCACCCTCCCCATTCATTTCATCTCAACATTTATATAGTGTTTATTATGTGCCAGGCACTATTCGAGGCACTTTGCATATAAACTCATTTAATCCTCATAACACCCATGTGAAAAAAATACTATTGTTATTCTCATTTTACTAGTTGAGGAAACCTAGGTCCAGAGAGCTGGAATATCTTCCTCGTTGTCACACAGCTGTTCAATGGCAGAGGCTGGATTCGAGCCCAGGCATTTTGGCTTCAGAGTCCACTGTTTTTTGTTTTTGTTTTTGTTTTGTTTTTTAGAGAGAGAGTGCATGAGCAGGGGGAGGGACAGAGGGAGAGAGAGAGAATCTTGAGTAGGTGCCATGCCCAGCACAGAGCCCGATGTAGGGCTCGATCCCACGACTATGAGAGATCATGACCTGAACCAAAATCAAGAGTCAGACTCTTAACTGACTGAAGCCACCCAGGTGCCCCTAGAGTCCACTGTTAACTACTACTTTCCATGATGCTAAATATTTTTCCACAACAATGGCTCTCAAACTTCAGCGTACATAAGAATTATCCAAGGAGCTTGTTTAAAATGGAGAATCATGTGGCCCAGAGAATTTGACTGACTGAGTTTGTGCTGGAGTTCAGAAACCTGCACTTTTTTTTTAAAGTTTATTTATTTTGAGACACAGAGAAAGCACAAGCAGGAAAAGGGCAGAGAGGGAGAGAGAGACAAGAGAATCTCAAGCAGGTTCCACATTGTCAGTGTGGTACCCAGTGCGGAGCTCGAACTCACTAACCACATGATCATACGCTGAGCCAAAATCAAGAGTTGGACGCTTAAACAACTGAGCCATCCAGGAGCCCCTAAGAAGGCTGCATTTTTTAACAGGCATCCCACACAATTGTCTTGCAGATCTATGGATCATATTTTTAAGAGAAACCTGTGTAGAACATCAATTTTTTTAAACTAAATTTACTGAAATATAGTATCTATATGGAAAAGCGCACACATTGTAAGTGTACTGAGCAATAAGTTGTCATAAAGTGAATATACTCATGTAACTCTCTTCATACCAAGATATAAAATAGTATCAGCACCCAGAAACCTCTTCATACTCTTTGGCAGTCACTACAGCCCCAAAGGTAACTACTATCCTGACTTCTGTCACCATCAGTTATATAAATGAACTCAGACAGTATGTACTCTGACTTGTTTAGCTCAGCATTTTGTTTGTATGATTCATCCATGTTGTAGTATGTGATAATAGTCCATTCATTTTTCTCTGCAATATAGTATTCTATTGTTTAAATAAACTTTCACCATTCTACTATTAACAAACATTTAGGTTGTTTTCACTTTGGAGCTATTATGAATGGTGCAACTATGAACGTTTTTGTCCATGTCTTTTGGTGCACTTAGGTTCACATTTCTGCAGAGTATATGTACAATTCTCTTAAAAGTGGAACTACTGGGTCCTAGGGATGTGTGTGTTCAGCTTGAGCTGACACTGCTGTAGTTTTTCCAAAGTGGTTTTGCCAATTTGTAGTCTCACCATCTGCATGTAAGTGTTCCTCTGGTTCTATATCCTTGTCAATACCTGGTGGTATTGGTTTTATGGAACATTTTAGTGACCATGTAGCAATGGATCTTATGTATGAACAGTGGTTTATGTAACCCAATCACTATTGTATATAGGTTATCATCTTTTACTATTTTAAATTACACTGTGATGAACATAATTCTAGCCAAATCTTTGTACTTATCCTTATTTCCTCAAACCAAATGCCTGGAAATAAAATTGTTAGATCAAAGATTATACGCATTTTTAAAGCCTTTGCTTTTGAATCAGATCCCCAAAGGCCCACCAGAAAGCTTGTACCAGTCTTCTTCCCAGTAGCTATGCATGAAAGTGTCCATCCACCCTAATCCTCAGTGTAAGTTGTGTTTTTAAACCTTTGTTAAAATTGATAGGCAAAAGTGGCATTTCATTGTTTTATTTTTGAATCTTGGTGAGTCTCCACATTTTTTCATATGTTTATTAGACGTTTGTATTTTTTGTGAGTTACTTATTTGGGTCCTCTGCTATTTTCATCTTTTTTAAACTACATGTAAAAACACTGTACATTGAAGATACGAATCATTTAACTGCCATCTGTGTTGCAGTTACTTTTTTTTTTTATAATTTTATTTATTTTTTAATGTTTATTTGTTTTTGAGAGAGAAAGTGTGTGTGAGCAGGGGAGGGGCAGAGAGAGGGAGACACGAATCCAAAGCAAGCTCTGGGCTCTGAACCAGTAGCACAGAGCCTGATGCGGGGCTTGAACTCACGAACCACAAGATCATGACCTGAGCTGGTCAGACACTTAACCGACTGAGCCACCCAGGTGCCCCATGTGTTATAGTTACTTTTTGTCATTTGTCTTTAGTACTAATTATCACATTGGTTTGGTATTTTTTGTTTTGTTTGAAGTTCAGACTTCTTTTTTAAATAGTATGTTGTATATTTTTTATTGAATTGTCTGACTTTAGCCTTCCCCACCTTAAGATTATATAAATATTCCCTGATTTTTTCTAGCTCCTAAGGGTTTTCATTTGTACATAAATTTTCAGTACTAAAATTTCATCATGATTTATTATATATAAAGGATGTATCTATTTTTCTTAATTCATTTTTACATGATTTATAGCCTTTTTCCACTTATTTAGAATGCCATTTTTTATCCTAACACCTTTTATACACTTGATCATTTTACAGATTTTTCTGTCTCATCTTAGGAGAGTAGCACACTATTTTAACTGTTGTTATTGGGTAATATATCTTTAATAAGTGGTAGAACGTATTCTTTCTCAATACCACTCTCTTTTTTTTTTTAGGAAAATTTGTGTTTCTAGGTGAACTTTAGAGTTATTTTCAGGAAGTTCCTTTAATCTCAGAGAAGTTTAAAATTTACTGAGTTTTTAAAGCAATTTCATGAAAAGAAATATCAATTCCACTACACAAAGTAGAGAAGGAATAAAAATGTAAGAAAGGACAGAAGTATCTACAATGATTTTTATTAACTCTTCTTAACAGGGGAAAAAAGAAAAACTTCATTCTAGAAAAAACTTCACCCTCAAAACCCTTCCAGTCACAAACCACAATCACCAGCTTGTTGGTGCTTCCTCATGTACTGAAGAATTCCAATCTCAGTTCACTTTTGTAAGTATAATTACTTACTGAACTAATGTTGATATTTTTAAGGTAATACGTCTTCTCCATTAGGATTAAACTAGAGGTTTAGGCATTTGAGGGTTTTTTTAAGTTTACTTATTTTGAGAGAGAGCCTACCCAAGTGTGCACGTACACGTGCATGAATGGGGGGGGGCAGAGAAAGGGAGGGAGAGAATCCCAAGCAGATGCCATGCTGTCAGTGTGGAGCTAGAGTTGGGGCTGAGCCCCACAAACCATGAGATCATGACCTAAGCTTAACCAACTATGCCACCCAGGTACCCTGACATTAATATATATATGTTATATATACATGATATATGTATTATGTTATACATTATATATACATAATTATATATCTTATATAATGTTATATATTGTGTATACATAATTATATATATGTACATGTATATATGTGTATATGTATTTGTGTATATATATATATATAAATATGTTATATAAATATATAAAATGCCCAAAAATAGTGTTTCCCAGGGCCATTATAATTTTTATATATGGGATAATAATATACAGGTAGTTAATCCTTTGGTTGCATATTTAGTTCAAAGAGTGCTTTCATACAGCTATTTTTTACCAAGAAAATGCAATAATCCCTTTGAGTACTATATTTTCTACATGGAAACATCTAATAAAAAATATAGTTACATCTTTAGGTTTTCTTAAAGAACAGTCATACATAAAGAGTTTTCAAGCTTGCATTATTTATTCATCTCATTGCATATTCATATTAGAGCCACACCTAGAATCCACGTCTGTTTTACTTTCTTGATTACCATCGCTTCATAGTAATACTTGAAATAGGGCAGTGTTTGTCTTCCAACTTTGTTCATTTTCACAGTTGTTTTGAATATTCTAGATCTTTTGCATTTTCATATGAATTTTTAGAATCTTTTCTTTTTTTTTAATGTTTATTTATTTTTGAGAGAGACAGAGTGCAAGCAGGGGAGGGGCAGAGAGAGAGAGGCAGACACAGAATCCAAAGCAGGCTCCAGGCTCTGAGCTTTCAGCACAGAGCCCGACACGGGGCTTGAACTCACGAACTGCAAGATCATGACCAGGCATGATCAAGATCAGTCAGCCGCTTAACTGACTGAGCCACCCAGGTGCCCCTAGAATCATTTTGTAACAATTTCTACAAAAATGCCTGCTGGAATTTTAGCTGGGTTGTGTTGTATGTACAGATTCATTTGAGAAGAATTGACATCTTAATGAAACTTTTAAGTCTTTCAACCTGTGAACTCATTATATCTCTGCATTTATTCAGGTCTTTAACTTCTCTCAACCATGTTTTGTAGTTTTCAGTGTATAGGTCTTTCATTTTGTCAGATTTATCCCTAAGTATTATATGTGTTTGGATGCTATACAAATGGTGGTGTTTTGTTTGGTTTACTGATAGTATACGGAAGTTGATTTTTGTATGCTGATTTTGTACTTGGCAAACTTGTAAACTCATATATTAATTATGCTTTTTTGTAAGCGCTGTTATATTTTCTACATAATCATGTTGTCTGTCATTAAAGATAGTTTTAATTTTTCCTTTCTAATATGGATGCCTCATTTCTTTCCTGCAATATTTATTGGACTACTTTGAACCTCCAGGGCTTTGCTGAATAGAGAACACTGAGAGCTGATCTCCATGCTTTGCTCCTGATTTTAGGAAGAAGACATTCAGTCTTTCACCACTGAATATGATATTAACTGTAGGTTTTTCATAAATGCTTTTATCAGGTTGAGGAAGTGCCTTTCTGTTCCTAGTTTGCTGAAAGTTTTTATCAGAAATGAATGTTAGTTTTGTCAAACACTTTTTCTGAGGTGTTTCTATGGTTTTCTATGGTTTTTCTTTTTTAGTTTGGGAAAAATGATTAGTTATATCAATTGATGTTTGAATATTAAACCAACCTCAGAATAAACTCAACTTCTTCATGGTGTGTTATCCTCTTATATATTGTTGAATTGGATTTATTAAAATTTTGTTTAGAATCTTTTCTTGTATGTTCAGTAGGGATATTGGCCTGTAGTTTTCTTTCCTTGTAATATTTTTGTCTGGTTTAGAATCAGAATAATGCTGACCTTAATGAAAAAGTTGGAAAATATTGCCTCCTTTTTTGTTTTTCTGAAAGAGTTTGTATAGATTAGATGTTATTTCTTCCATAAGTATTTGGTAGAATACTCCAGTTAAACTATCAGGGTGTGTGATTTTGTAGGTAAGGGTTTTTTTGGTAGCTTGTATCTTCCAAGGGATTTGTCCCATTTTATCTCAGTTGTCAAGTTGAACAGCTTAAAATTGTTCATAATATTGGCTTACTGTCCTTTTTAATATATGTAGAATTTGTAGTGATATCATCTCTCCCATTTCTGATATTGGCAATTTGTTTCTGTTCTTTTTTATTGCTGATCAGTCTTCCTAGAGATTTGTCAATTTTATTGATCTTGTTAAAGAACTAGCTTCCATTGATTTTCTCACTTTTTTTGTTTTTGTTTTCTACTTCAGTGATTTCCATTCATCTTTACTATTTGCTTTTTCTATTTATTCCAGTAAAATTTGCTCATCTTTTTCTAGTTTCTTAAAATGAAAGCTAAGGTCATTGACTTGAGACATTCCTTTATAATGTAGGCATTTAGTGGTATTAATTTCTCCCTAGGTATTGCTGTAGCAACACTCCATAAATGTTTTCATTTTCATTTAGTTCAGAAAACTTTCAAATTCCATTTTTATTTGTTCTTTGACCCATGAGTTATTTAGAAGTGTGTGTGTGCCATGTAGTTTCCAAATACTGGGGAATTTTCCAGATGTCTTTCTATTAATGTGTCTAATTTAATTCTGTGGTAGTCAGAGAATATACATTGTATGGCTTGAAATTGCTTGAGATGTTTTTAAATTTATTGAGATTTATAGTCTCTAATACAGCCTGTCTTGGCAAATGTTCTGTGTGCATTTGCAAAGAATGTGCATTCTGCTGATGTTACCTAGAATGTTTTAGAAATATCAAGACTGTTGTTCAAGATTGTATCCTTACTAAATTTCTGTCTACTTGTTCTGTCTGTTATTGAGAGAGGAGTTTAATTTTCTGGTGTAACTATGTATTTGTCTAATTCTCCTTGAAGTTTTCAGTTTTTATTCATTACATCTTACAGCACTGTGATTGAGTGCTAATACCTATGATTGTTTTGTCTTGTTAATTTAACCCCTTTATTATTAGGAAATGACCTTCCCTGGTAATGTTCTTTAGTCTGAAATCTATTTTTCTGATAGCAGTATACCCACTCTAGTTTCCTTTTTCTTTAGTGTTATATGGGGGTACAGATGGTCCCCAACTTATGATGATTCAACTCATGATTTTTCAGCTTTACAATAGTGCAAAATGAATAAGGCATTCAGTAGAAGCCATATTTTAAGTTTCTGATTTTCGTCTTTTCCTGGGCCAGCAATATGGAGTACTATAGTCTCTTGTGATGCTGGACAGTAGCAGCAAGCCACAGCTCCCAGTCAGCCATGCAGTCACAAGGGTGAACAACCAACACACTTGCAACCATTCTGTGCCCATACAACCATTGTATTTTTCACTTCCAATACAGTATTCAATAAATAACATGAGATATTCAGTACTTTATTATAAAATAGGTCTTGTGAGACCCATCATAACTGGAGGAAGATCTGTATCTTTTTCTACTCTTTTACTTTAAACCTATTTGGGACTTTTTGAAGTACATGTTTTTTTTAGGGAGCTTATACTGTTGGGTCTTGATTTTTTAATCTTATCTGGTCATTTCAGCCTTTTAATTGGGTTATTTAGACCATTTACACTTAGTGTGTTGATCCTGTTTGGTTTCCTACATGTTCCATTTGTTCTTTGTTTTTTAACAATAAATTATCTATTTTTTAACAATTATCTTTTAAAGAGATATAAATAATAAGAAAAAATCTGTATACATTACCTGTGTAGTGGCCATTGCCAGGGCTTTTCATTCCTTTGCATAAGTCCATATTTCCATCGGCATCATTCTGTCTGAAGCATTTTAACATTTCTTATAAAGCAGCTTTGCTGGGGATGAATTCTTTCAGCTTTTATATTTCTGAAAGAAGTCATTATTTAGTCTTCGTGTTTGAAAGATTTTTTCATTGGGTATCAAATCCTAGATTGATAGTTTTGGAGATTTTTTTATTTGTTTTTAGTTCTTCAGAGATGTTGTTCCACTGTATTCTCACAGGCTTCGTTTCTAATGAAAAATCTGTCATCTATATTCTCTATACATTCTGTATCCTCTAACATGTCTCTTTTTTTTTTTTTTTTTTTTTGGCTTTTAAGAATTTTTCTTTCCCAGTGGTTTGAATAACTCGATTATGATATATATAGTTCAGTTTTCATATTTCTCATGCTTGGGATTTTTGAGCTGCTTTATCGGTGGGTTTATAGTTTTAATCAAATTTGGAAAAATTTTGAAGACTCATGGAGTCTTCAGATATTTCATTCTACCTCAACTTTTCTTTCCATTGCTTCTGATTCTGATTACATGTATATTAGGCTATCTGAGTCATGCTACCACTCACTGATGCTCTGCTAATTTTTTTTTTCTGGGTTTGTTTTTCAATACTCCCTTTTCTCTCTGTAGTCTGTTCTGGATGGTTCATATTGCTGTATCTTCACTTTCACTAATATGCTATTCCCCCCAATGTATTTTTCACCTCAACACGTTGTAAATTTTACCTCTAGGTGTTCTGTTTGATTCTTTTTTATATCTTTCGTTCTCTCCCTAACTTTTTGAACATATAGAATATTATTTTAATAACCTTAATTCTTTTATCTGGTAACTCCATCTTTTGTATAAATTCTTGATTATTTTCCATTGACTGGTTTATGGTTCATGTTGTCCTACTTCTTTGCATACTTGGTAGATGTTGTGTGCCACACATTGTGAATTTTACTTTGCTGGATGCTAGATATTTTTGTGTCTTGTATTTTTGAGCTTTATTCTGGGATACCACAAAATTATTTGGAAACAGTTTGATCCTTTCAGGTTTTGTTAGGCAGGACTAGGAGAATGTTCAGTTTAGGGCTATTTGTTCTCCACTGCTGGAGCAAGACCCTTTTGTATGCTCTCCTCAATGCCCCATGAATCTTGAAATTTTCTGATCTGGAAGGGGTGGGAAAAGTGGCCATGCCATCTGAGCACAGGGCACTCCTGGTCTTCTCTGGTCATTCTTTCTTCAGCCTTGAGCAGTTTCCTGCCTGTGTGCACTGAATACTAGAAGGGGAGCCTCTAAGGATCTTCAGAGTTCTCTCTTGGTCTTCCTGGATGCTTCACACAATCTTCTCAATCTGCTAAGCTCTGCCTGGGTTTCCCCTCCATGCACTGAGGCATACACACTCTCCCAAGACAGTAAGCTGGGGCAGTCGGTCATAGGGTTCACCTCTTAGTTTGCATGTCTCCAGGATTGCTGCCTTCCCTGCCTAATCTCTGTTATCTTCATAACATTTTTTATGTCTTTTGGCCCTATGTCGGTTTTTTTAGATAGGATTCAATTCAGTCTCTGTCATACTGGCTAGAAGCAAAAGTTCTCTTTAGTAATTTTAATAGTGAGTAACAGCTTTTCAAAATTATTTTATAGTGCCTTTTTAAGATCTGTTAGTGTTACTTTCCCTATTTTCAATTGAAAAAAAAGTATACCCAGCAAACTTAAGCATAACCATAATAAATATTGAAAGAGCTTAAATTCTGTCTCTAAAAACCCAAAACCAAGGTCCTCGCTAAATAAAAACACTCAACCTGAGGACCTGCTCCAGTGCTCCTTTTTTGTCATCACCTTTAAAATGAGATATTTATCAAAATAAAATAAAATCGTTAAAAGTTTAACAACATAAGATTTTTGGGTAGGTAAAACTTAAACTTAGCAGCGCCACGCCTAGGGAACAAAAGCTGGATAGTCATTACAAGTGTCATGTTCATAGCAAATACTTACCCCAATAAGCAGTGCTTCCCATCAATAGATATTGTACCCCTCATGTTATTCCTAGCCTTAGATAAAGGGGGAAGTCTCTGGGCACCCAAAATACTGCTTCCACCCCCATCCTCTTCCTGTGTTCTTTAAACCTCTAAGTATCACCAACTTAAAGATACCTAAGCATCGTAAGAAACAGCTGAGGCCTAGCTAAAAACTTTTATCTAACTACTTGTCTCTCCAGTTTAATAACTTGGTGTTTATGTTTTTAGGAACATAGCTACAGTGTAATGGACAGTCCAAAGAAACTTAAGCATAAATTAGATCATGTGATCAGCGAGCTAGAGGATACCAAGAAAAGTCTGCGGAATGTTTTAGACCGAGAAAAACGTTTCCAAAAATCCTTGAGGAAGACAATCAGGGAATTAAAAGATGAATGTCTCATCAGCCAAGAAACAGCAAATAGACTGGAAGCTTTCTGTTGGGAGTGTTGTCAGGAGAGCATAGAAAGAGACTATATTTCATGAAATAATTCCATGTTATATTCTACCTAAAGTTAACATTGGTACAGGTTTTTAGAAAATAATTCTTGTTTACCATCATTAAATAGCCATCATTTAGAGTGCTTCTTTGGGTCTTCTGTAGCATTATACATACAGTTGTTATTCAAAGACTTTGTTTTAAAGATTTGCAGAAATTTGTGCTAGTTATCATGTTTTTGTGTGATATGTGACAATTACGTTTTTATAGACCTAAACTAGTGCCAGTTCACTATTGTAAGATGTTAAAAGCTTAAAAAGATTCCACAGGACTTAGGAAATGAGGTCAAATTAGTCTCATTCAACAATGGTAGTAGGAATTGGACACTGCTTCGACAGCATCAGATTTTTGGCTCAAAGGAGTACCTTTACTTGTATGTACTTTATGGTAAGTACAATGAATTATACTTTAAATGTACTTTACTATAAAGCAGAATTCATTTATAACACATGTCCACCTTGGATCCAATCCAGGGTGCTTTTGTTAATAATAACAAAAGATTACACGGCATCCCATAGTACTGACCCTGAGAATAGCATATGGTACAGATCTGTTGGCTTTTAAAGTTGTTCAGAGCCAAGTTGAGAAGACCTCTGATGAGGTCACAGTTTTCAGTACGGTACATCATTCCTCCTCCGTCTTCTTGGCTAGGAGCACTTTCATATAAACCAGCAGAGGTTTAAAAAGCAAACAAAAAAAAAGGGGGGGGGTCATAAATCTGATTTTTAAATGGTTGGTTGCTGACAGTTGTTCTGAACATTTTGTTTCATTATGAAGGAATCCTTTCAAAACCTAAATGCTAGTACTAGCTGAATATTTTTAAAGTTGCTTTGTATTTTACAGAAAGTAATGTTGCCGGCATTTCTAAAATACAAAATGTTGGTGAAATCATTAAAAAATTGTGACTCTTCCAGTTGTAATAGGAATTGGAGAAAGGGTTAGAATATTTTACTGTAATTAGGAGAGTAGATTACTGCCCAAAGGCTTTTATTTAAAGAAATAGCTAAGTAAAGCAGCAGCTTTAGAATAGCTTCTTACCGAATGTACACAACAATGACTCTTAGCTATTTTCTGATCCAGGTGTCAGAAATTTAGCTTTTCTCCTAATTTCTTATTAAAAACAACTGAAATTTAGAGTCATAAATTGTGAATTAGAATAAAAATTACTAGCTCAAAACCAAACTCTACTTTGAAGCACATGTACATATTCAAACCACATTCAGATGTGTATGCTCTAGTAGTTAGAATTTGAGTGTCAGTTGTTTCCATGTGTTAACTAGAAATGAATCGCAGTTTGTGCTAAAATTTTCGTGGAAATTTTATTTGTGTTATATTGTCAGCAAGGATATGGTCACTTGAATTTCCTTTGTATTCAAGAATATTCTATGTGTTGATGTATGTTATATTTTTATGTAGGTTTCCAAACCTTCCTCTGAATTGGAATCTTCCCACATTTGAGAGGTCAGCATTATGCTAAGAAGAAACACTGAGGTCATATCTTTTTACTTCCTAAAAAAAAATCTCATTAGCTACCCGTTATTTATTTTAGTTATTTAATTTTGAATAATGGACATTCTAATGGAAAGTTTGGGTACGATCTTAGATTTTATGGAGGTACTATGATAGAGATGGAAACTATTTCTGAGTATAAAAATTAAAGTCAGTGGACAATAGAGAAAAGTAGGATAGATCCAAACACAGTATGTCTACATTCAAGCTCTCTACTGGCTGCTTGGAATAATTCAAGCCTGGGAGACCTTTCCAAGAGTCCAATCCCAATCTGTGCCACAATCACAGTTGTCACGGTCACCTTTGCTCACCGTGAACTCCGCCCTTGTCGTCTTTGTCATTGGTCTTAGTATCACTGAGAGATAAGTAACTGAGAGCAAAATCTTGGTATCATCAAGCACCCGGAGCTACCCATTTGCTCTTTATTCTTACAGAGAAATGATTACCAACAGAAATCTGACATAAGAAACAGGGTTCTCCCCACCTGCCACCCAGAACAAATGCCTGGATGCAGCAAATACCTCAGTCCCCTCTTCCAGATATTCCAGCCTAGCTCAGTGAGAAACTGTCCTGTGCAGAGCAAGCCAGTGACCCCATCCAGAGGTTTCTCAAGCAGCTGAGACCAGCCTGAGGGTTTCGCTTTGCTTTAAAGCTTGGAGTAGCCTCTGGATCCTGGAACAAACCAATACACCAGTTCAACCTCAGCACCAAATAAGGTACAAAGGACTTAACGTGGCATTTTTCTCCATATCAAGTTTAAATCTCTGGAAATAGACTTTGGTTGCTAAAGATAATCACAATTATACCACAGCCTTTGAGAAAAGATGAAATGTATTAAAATATGTAGTTTTAATAAAAAGGTAAAATATTACAGAAATAATTGAGTGTAGAATACATTATACATTTGGAAAATAAAATATTTTCTCCAGTAATGTGCTGTATGTGGTTTTTATACAGTTATCCAATAAAATGAGCAGAGAAAAATGAAGAGTATATATACTGTGGTTTTGCTTTAATCTCTCCTGCACTGTTTTCCCTCCACAATAACTCCAAAATCATAGAGTCTGCTAGGTTAAGTGATCCAAATGACAGACCTGCTTTTAGCACAATGTGGATGTGCCATAGAGCCCTTTCCTGCTTGTGCCTCACTCAAAACTGGCAGCTTTTCATGTCACCCAAGTATAACAGCTGAGAGCAGTATTTTTAGGTGTGAAATGTGCTCCCTTCGAAATCCAAAACGGCCTGTTAGGCGTTGTGCTTCCTTCCTCACAGTGGGAGATGCAGGCCGTAATAATTTGTCTTTTACTTCAGAGGGGATGTCCTAGCATGCCCGTGCTCGCTGGATACTCCTCCCCCGAAATTTTACTGATCTGTCATACACATTGTCAAATTCAGTGCTTCTAGAGGGAAGCTCAAAGGTATAATTGGCTCCTCCATTGGATCAATGGGAAGGCCATGATAGTCAGTGGGTCTGCTGGAGGCAAGCTGGATGGGGCGTGAGCTGTCTGCACCAGTGACTGCCTTCTCCGTGGGCCACATGGTCTTCCTTTCATATCGCTTCCTCATGCTTCACTCCTCCGTGCTTCTAACAATTGTCCCATCTCTTACCGTCCTCCCTGCTGTGCATCTGGTCATAGAATGGGGCCTGATGCAAAGCAGGAGCTGGCCGGGATTAAAAAGGAAGAAAAAAAATATTGGATCAGGACCAGGAAATCCAAGAGCCGAAGAAGATGCACTTTGTGATCTAAGAACCGTGTGGGAGTTACCAGCACCAGGAACAGCCGTTTAAGAACAAGTGCTGAGCACATTCATTAATTCTACACGTTTTCAAGTACCAGGAACTGTATGCCAGGGCATGTGCCAGGCACTGGGGAAACAAAAGACTCCGTTCCTGTCCTCAAGGAGGTTACAGAGCAGTAACAGGGGCAGCAAGGAGTGCATCTCAGGAGAATGGGCTGTCCGACGCCTTTCTCCGCACTGCGTTATAGGATTACACGCATGCTCAGATTCATATCACACCTTAAAGCTTAAGTGCCTGAGTCTCACTCGGTCTCATTCATCTAATATTTATCTTAGGCACATGAAGAAGTTTACAGACTAACATTCAGTGTAACAACCCATCCATCACGTGTCCTGCTTTTAAAGCCCCATACCCTCTTGTGAGGGATGCAAAAATGAGATGAAGGCATCCACAACCTACAAGGGACACAAAGTATCTAACAAATCTGGAGAAGTGGGCGACGACGTAGCAGAATTTAGGCAATTAAAGAAGGTGCCGAGACTGGGAGAGTAATGGAATCTCAAAGTTACAAAATGGAACATTAGTGGGTCAGTGTGGGCACTTTCCAAGTCCTGTCCCAGGATCTGGATTTCTCTTAGCACCTCCTCGGGTATGAGAGTAGCAGACCAACCCCCCTGGGAGAGAACCAAACAGACCTAGAGTCAAGGCCCAAGCCGGCCACTTTATCACATGTAGGACCCGGACCAACTTCCTGAATTTCTCTGCGCATTTACAAAGTAGACAGTAATGCTTTCCTAACCCAGTTGTGGTGACAGTTGTATTCCATTGTGTGTGAAACATAGAACAATGAGCTTTCCGTATATATTTTCTTTCTTTAAATTCCATGCCAGAGGGGCGCCTGGGTGGCGCAGTCGGTTAAGCGTCCGACTTCAGCCAGGTCACGATCTCGCGGTCCGGGAGTTCGAGCCCCGCGTCAGGCTCTGGGCTGATAGCTCAGAGCCTGGAGCGTGTTTCCGATTCTGTGTCTCCCTCTCTCTCTGTCCCTCCCCCGTTCATGCTCTGTCTCTCTCTGTCCCAAAAATAAATAAACATTGAAAAAAAAATTAAAAAAAAAAAAATTCCATGCCAGAAGCATGGAAAAAGGAGATAAGAACAGGAAGGAGGGCAAAAACAAGAGAGGAAAATGCATTTAGTGGGGAAGGGTAGTGGTACAGGCAATGGTGTGCCTTAAATAACTTCCCTCTCTGTGAGAGCTCAAAAGCAGGTAAAGAACACTGCCCCACTGAGAGAGAAAACTTAATTCATCCTTCTCTCCATCCTCCCACCTCAACCCTGGAAAGCCATTTAATCCAGATTAGATATGCTTCATTTATTCATTTGTTCGTTCAACTTCATAAAGCATCCTAGTGCTACTTAAAATGGAGTTCACAGACCAGCGGACAGAGTAAGGAGTTTGCAAGGAATGCAAATCAACTATGCCATGAAGCACACTGTAGTTTTAATAAAAAGGTAAAATATTACGGAAATAATTGTGGAGTGTAGAATCCATTATACGTTTGAAAACTAAAATTTTGGGGCGCCTGGGTGGCGCAGTCGGTTAAGCGTCCGACTTCAGCCAGGTCACGATCTTGCGGTCCGTGAGTTCGAGCCCCGCGTCAGGCTCTGGGCTGATGGCTCAGAGCCTGGAGCCTGTTTCCGATTCTGTGTCTCCCTCTCTCTCTGTCCCTCCCCCGTTTATGCTCTCTCTCTGTCCCAAAAATAAATAAACGTTGGGGAAAAAAAATTAAAAAGAAAACTAAAATTTTTTCATAGCGTTTTTTTCGCAAGACTTTTTTCTGTGAATGGAACGGTTGTAATGGTTGACGTTCTGGAACAACCAGAAGTTGCCGTATCTCATTCTGGACTAGTAAAAAAAAAAAAGATTTCACAGGCTCACGACTTTGAGTAACACTGTCTCAGATATCAAGTCACTAAACAGTCTTTGAACTATTCTTAGCTCCTTTGTGGTCGTTGGCAGCAAGGGAGCTCCTGACACAGTTGTGTCATGTAATAAATTTCCCAAATCCTTGTGCTAGAGCTTGTGCACTTAAAAGATAATATCACATCTGACTCAGCGGATCTGGCCTCATGCTTTTTAAAATAGAAGTGTCTCGTTAAACAAAGATAGTAAAGTATACAGGCTGTGCAGGATGCCAACCACAAATACAGATGACGAGCACCTTGTGGAGACGG